TAAATAAATTTACTCACATTTTATGAAAAGCGTTAAAAAGACCTCTTCCTTTCTTTGAAAGGTTTCTTTATCTCTCCGTCGCGGTAAATTAACTTCGTATTCAGACGTTTTTAGTCTCGGACAATTTTATAGCTTCCTACCACATTAAATGACACGTTCAATATAGCTTTATAACATCTATTTATTATGCAAATGTTGAATTGTTTTGAGTAGTTTTTGGTTGCTTTAATTTTTTTTCATAAGGTGCTAAATGGTAGTTCTGCCACTTGAATTCTGTATATAAAATTCTATAAAATTAGGCCTCTGGCACACAAACACGTCTGACGAAACGTGGTATTGCTTAGGCTCTTAATTTTTGTGCCGACGTGGTAATTCACCGGACGATCTTGCATGTTCTTTCTTGTTGATGCTGGCCGACCTGTTTTTTTATATCAACTTTCAACTTCTACAGACTCTTGGTCCGTACTCTTTCTTGCACAGTTCGTTTTTCTTTTCTTTTTTTTGTTACGTAATCCTTATAACACTAGTAAGTTCCTTTTTTTTCATAAATACAATTATACCACTACAAAACACTGTTAAAATGTTCAAGTTCTCTTTATTAATACTAATACAATAGATTTCAACAAATTTGATTTGAATTCTTAAATAAGTGAAAAAATATGTTACCATAAAATCCACGTGTACAATAAGGAAAACATTACTTCAGTTATTGGGCGTTATTCGATATGTTTCTCCAGAAACTCTGTTACCAACGGAGCAACGCAAATGTCCATTTATCTTGTTTTACTCTGAAGAAAATATTGGTTTGAAGAAAATCCATGCCAAAGTTTACATTAAACTTGAAATTACTATATTTCTATTACGAAAAAGTATAAGAATAGAATATGTGAATCTTTAAAATCAGTCAAATCACTTAGTATATGGAAAATCACACTTGTTACTATACTTTACTTATACTACTATACCCATTCGTTTTGACGCTTAAAGTAATGAAATATTTACTGTTGCTGGAAAACTGTTTGATAAATGTAACAATGTTTAGGTAAACTAAATTTGAATAGTATTAATCGCTTTTTGTGAAAGTTTTGTTATTTCAAAATTTAAAGTATGAAATATCACTCTGAAGTGTTATTTTCAATTTCAATTAGTTTATGTTCAAAGTTATTGGTTGTTTCCTCATATAGGTGTTACATATATATAGCAGTTTAGTATATCTTTATAATGAACAATTTTAACTTAAATGAAATATATTAAATTTCAAAACAAAAGTCATCGACTCACCATCATTGGCTAATACTTTATTTATGTTGAATTTCGTAATTAGAAGCGAAAGTATTTAAGTGTTAAATTTTCTTTGATACAATTCACGACTGGCAAAAGCGGCGTAATTACAAAACTCTGGCGAAAGTTTCATAACAGAATTATTGAATCGAGCAGCGAGTTTCAAAGTTAAATTGTGTGGTAATAAGTTTTACCTTTACGATTTTCGTATCTACAGCTGACAAGATTTATCTACGTTTTAATGCAAATGACGATGTTTTGAATTAAAATTTCTGTACGGTTTATATCTAATGAATGTAGAATGTTAACATCATCATCATCATCACCAGCCTTTATCTGCCCACTGCTGGACATAGACCTTCCGCATTATGCGGTCCTCCGCCTTTCATCGACTTCCCGCCGTGTGCACTAAGTCGTCGGTCCACCTTTTTTTTGTTTTTTTTTTTAGCGTGGGGCCTAGACGCATACTCAACTTTATAGGTAAAGATAACTGATGTTGGGCTTGCACCAACTAAAAACCCCACGGTGGTCTCCCACAGCGCTAACGAGGGGCCACGGGATCTCCATTTGGAACGCGACCTTGACCCCCCAACGCTTTGCTACGAATGCAGCTCGTCCTGCACATTTTTACGGCCATCTCGGAGCCTCGGTATTGGTGCTTAGGGCCCTATCCTATGCACCCGAGAGCCCCAGATACTCTCGTAACTAATTTAGGAGAGAGAATACCCCATGTCCCTGTTCCCCTTCCGTGGCCTCCGTTCTAGGAGTTGACATTTTAGAATAGCACGATTAAAATATATTTATAAGAACAACACTATTTTTATTATATCTTCATTCAGTATTTTCGTACAGATTTTTCTTTAAAAAGTTAATATGAAATTTCTGACATTTTATTATCAATAATGTATTGTTTATTTTATTGGAAAGGCGAGCGTTATTATCAAAATGGCCGCTTAGTGGCTCCCACAAGACTCATTATAAACAGGTTATTGTACTCGCCTTCCTTATTTATAACGGTCCTAATTGTTATTTCGTGCACTTAATTTATATTTATTTAAATTTATATTTTACTTTGTAACTAATATAGAAATAATTTGAAAATTACACTTCAGGTATCTTGCATTCACATAGTATTCTTTAAACCAATCTGGATAAAATTTCCTGGTACATCGAAAAGGTTTGTAACTTTTAAATTTTCCTGCATAAGTGTTGGGCAACAGCCAGTCTACCAAAATATTACAAGTACGTTATTTGGTTATGAAATTTACCAGAAATATTTTACTGTAAATCAAATTACTGAAAACATTTTTGCTTCGCGTATTTCCGTCAGCTTCCCGCAATGTTTACGTTATCGCTGCTCATTGCCAAATTTTATTCTTGTGGCGTACGCCGTGTTATTTGATATACGTTTCTCTGAAATTCAGTAATCAGTGCAACAACGTACAAATAATCGTGTTTCTTTTACCAGTCATTTCATTTTTTAGTATAAATTAGCTTTCGCCCGCGACTCCGTCCTCGTGGTATTAACAAAAATCAAATGAAAGTACATGCATGAGATTACAAACACTGTTCTATCCTCTACTACTATAACAATCTTATCAAAATCTGTTCAGCAGTTTAGACTGCAAACTCTAACAAACATCCATCCATCCATCTAAACTTTCGAATTTATAATATTAATATGAAGTATGAAATATGTTGTAATTATAAAAGTATGTCATTTGTATCATTAGAAATAGTTGGAGATTCTTAAGGATGACTTGAGACAAGTCTACAGCCATGAGTTTGCTCAGGACTTGAACGTAGATCTGAAAAATTAAAAGTGTTTCGATGCCTTAAACTCGTCACTAGCCATCTGTCTATGACAAGATTATCGTATATAGTAAAACTGTAAGGGGAGGGCCCTTAAGGGAAATTAAACCCTATAACGCGAATATTCCCAACAATTTTTAAAAGTGGAACCTCCTTATAATGCGATTAATGGCTTTGTCCTGTTGAAAAACTTGCTATGCGGGGAATTCCTACGTCACGAATTAAGGAGGAGAGGTATAAGGTGAAACCATCGACCGCGTTTTACAGTGGTATACACATATTATATGTTTTAATAAGCCTATCAGAGCAAAATCAATAGCAGTCACGACAGAATGCTGAAAACTTCGCGGGACAATAAATGTGCCTCGATAAGTTTGGTTATTTGATCATTTAAAATCTGGAAACAATACTTAAACTCAAGTACAAATGAAGTTAATATGTCAGTGGGTTAAACGTAGGGTCTATTTCTATTATTAATTTCTATTTGCTGGAGACATCGGAAAATGTATTTTCACTACAATCCGTGTAGTGAATGATTGACGAGCGATGTCGCGCTAACAAAATAAGTAACACGGAATGACGCGCTTGTGACAAGTTACGGCTGACACTCATATTTCTTGTGTGTATTTTTGTCCTGATAATGTAACAAGTACAGGGTTGTAGTATTTTTGTAGGCGGAACCGGCGGGTGTTTTAGAAAAGTGAAGTTTGGTATACAATAATCTTTGTTGATAATTGTCACATATTTCTCATTAAAATTTAAAGTTATTTAATGAATATAAAATAAGTTCGGGTTCTGAATGTAATGTTACTAAATATCTTTCCAGTCTCCGTGTTCATTTAACTTTGTCCAAACTTTTTGATGAAACGTTTACATGTTTATTCAACACGCGAACTCTCCGCGTACTTTTTCAATATCACTCGGCTTTGTGATACTTTTGTACTTGAACATGAATTCTCTTGGAACTGGCGGCAACCTCTATTTGTTATTAGTTTTGTTATATTCCACTGATAAGGGAAAATATCATTCTAGGAAACTTTTTTTAGTATATTAATAAGGCCAAAGATTATATTTCTAAAACACTAACCGAAAATAACATTGTAAATTATTGTTTGATTTTAAATATTACTCTATGACTTAAAGAATCATGATTTCCACCAACTAGTCCGTAAAGTATTCTTAGGCAGGTGTCTCTTTTTAAGGTTCTCTTTATAAAACAAAAATATGACTAAGAGACACCTTAGTGTAAGCGAAATTCTACCACTTTAACTTTAAATTTAAGATATGGGAAAGTGGTCCGTTAACCTTTTCATGGAAATATTTTTTTAATAATTAGTGAAGTTGTATAGAAACATTTTATTGCTAAACTTTCTTCGTAGAAATTGTTAGAAGCAAATTAAAGGTGTTCTGGTTGGCGAACGATTTCACTTCAAATAATCTTTGGTTTGTGTTGAAGTTGGCAACTTTCCGCAGTCGAATCGCTTTGTAATTATGCTGTTTGAATTGAGATTGCTCTTACATTTGAGGTAAAAAGGTTTGTAAAGTTTTATACAAATTTTGCAGCTTTTCCGATTGCTTTTAACTTTAATGTTTTTCTTGTTCATTTATCGAAATTGGCGGAAGTCATTTGGTTTTAAATAAAGACCGAATTAAAAAGAAAACTGTTTAACTTTTTTTAAATAATATGACCATCCGAATCCGCCGAAATGGCGAAGCGGCCGTTACCCAAATTCTATACCAAATTTCGAGATCCGTTGAGTCATTCTGGTTACATACAATTAGTTACAAACATCCATCCATCCATCCATTAGCTTATTCAACCTTTTGTTGTTAATGTGTTTCAGACTAAAACACTATCAACACAAACTGACTAAAACGTTTTATTTTATGCAATAAAACTACTAAAAAACATATTTAAAAACTGAAATTTATTACGTGAACAAGCTAGGCAGTGGTACTGAGACTATCGGCCATTTTGAGTAAAATACTTCGCAACAAATTCGCAACTACTGGATAATTATGACCCAAGAGAGATACTCGAAGCTGTGGCACGCAAATCTGTAAAGAAAATTACTATTAAAGAATTACTTTCATCGTGTTTTGCACTTTATTTTTTTTTTAATTTTTTTAATTAAAATAAATTAAAGAATAAAAACAAACTTACTACTTATTACAATGTATTACTGTACTTTTGTACCGAAATGTATTTACTATGAAACGCTCTATAAGTACACTTTTAATAAGTCTAAGAACTTACAACAGCAAGCAGGACAAACAGAAGTGGACAGAGTAGGTTGACGACAAGAGCGAACAGCGTGCGGGCCAGCCACCATAGCCCGAATACGATCAGCACACTGCCCACCATTATCTGTGTTTGGACAAATTTATGCAACTACTATAATAAAAGAAATAAAGAACGATCGACTCTACTTTTATATTGAGGATATTTCTTTCCTAAATCCACTATTTCTTCCCATCTATTCTTAGAAAGTCTTGGGGAGAGGGGCATTGGACGAGATACGGTCCGCGTCTATCTCCATCAAGAGACAAAATCACTTCCACTTTAACTTCACTTCTTCAGTCTTCTGTGTGGTCGTGGTTATACCGGTCAAGCGATCCAACTATACTGCTGTAAATTTCATTACTCATCTAAGACTTCATAAATGACTCAAAAATTACCTGAGCTTCTTCATGCGTTTGCAGCCAGGATCGAAAAAATTCGACGGCTTTTTTAGATTCGCTCGCGTATTGATTACAGGACGCTTGAGACATGCTAAACTAGAAAATTAAATATAAATTAATTAGTGGTTATGTTTAAAGTTGTGGATAAAACATGTATAGTATATTTCTAGTACGTACAGAGCGACCTACAAATGGTTTTTCCCAGGCATCCATGGTATACCTGCCTTCGGAAACACTGTTTAAAATATGCGCTGAAGTAAGAAGTGATAATAAGAGACTTTTCTTTAAACATCGACGGTCTGGAATAAGAATATTTATAGGACAATTTATAACAAGGATTATTAACTGCGGTCTTATTAATAATGTATGTTCGAATTACAACAAATGCCTATTAATAAGAGGTTACTAAATTGATCAACTTTCTTACTTCATTAGGATTATAATTCATTATTTATTAATGTAATATATATGTAGACAATAGACAATTAATTATGATATTGGCTATTAATGGATTTTATTCATAAAAAATTATTAAGGGATGGAAGCTTTTAACCATAATTTTGTCAAGAATATAGAAATTGTTTATTTCTTTACTAAATGATACATATTTAGAGCATAACTTAAGATTCATCTTTATTACAAGATTTTCTGAATATTTGAAATAATTATAGACAGAAAAGTTTTGATTGTAAGTTACTACTGTTGAAACTACTTACTCGATTTTAAAAATTCTTTTGCTAATCGAAAGCAACAATCTCATTAAATAAAATAGCCTTTGTAATATCACAGCCACACAGAAGACAGGCGTGAAGTGGGAGCAATTCCGCGTTTCGTCTGATGAGTGTGGTGCCGGAGGCCTAATTTTTGTCCCTTTTCCTATCCACCCTTTTCTTGAGAGGAGAGGATGGGAAGGAAAAGTGGATTTGACGGCGGAGACACAAGGGATATATCCTCTTTATGTGCGTCTCCTCCGTCGATTAAGGATAGGCAAAGCATCTGCAATTGTGGAAATCTATGGGCAGCGGTCGCTTCACCATTTTGGTGGAGTAGGTGGCCGCTTGCTCGTTTGCCACCTTATAATATAAAAAAATAAATAAACGGATACCGACAGGAAGGGTATATGGTAGACATGAGATTTAAAAGATGGGATCGCCAGTTTCATAATATGAAATAATAGAGTTTAATTCAAACCTGGAATTGATATAATTTGTAGCATGTTGATGAGAATTGTTTAGCCATTTTTATAATTTCAAAACAACGTAAAATAATAAATATTACATAACTGTTCTCACGCTTCGATGTTCAACAAATTCGATGTATCATGTTTGACGTGAGGTTTTTGATTCGATTTTTCGTTATTTGTCAATTGAAATATAATTGATTTATTTTTATACGTTGTTTTAACAAAAAAGTTTTTACAGTGAGGTTTGAACAAAATTAAAAAAATGGTGCGGTCAATGAAACACATTAATATTTTGTTTAATTCAGTTTATTATGATCTCTGTTTTGAATATTTTTATCTGATCACTTTTATCTACGTAATACAATGTGAGGAAGAAGATATTCTAGCTTACTGAGAATTTAAAGTATTCGTTTATACAATATTTTGAATCTCCGTTGAAAATCGACAAGCCTTATAAATGCGGACATTGTTTAGCTTCTTATAAACTAATATTTATAATAATTTTACAATTAAAGCATATAATATACAATAATGTACAATTTCAATGTTTTAATTTATAAATTCTTTTTCTAATAAATAACGTAACTTAGATAACAAAAACAAAATGTTTAAATCATATCAGAGTGGGGATTCCTCAAGGCTCATATCTGAGACCTTTACAACTTTCATGTGGTTGGAATTAGATGTACTAACAACTACGATCAATTCGTATATAAAATCACGTTTTGTAACGGCCAAACTCTAAAACGAATTTTAAACACTTCACGTAATCGTCGCTTATAATCTGCCAGACGCTATATTTAGTTTTAAGTGTTTAATACTTTGTTACATATTTGATGCCGTTTCAGTATTTGGCCGGTACAACTTATAACTCAAACAGGACTAAACAAGATTTTTATAGAAGGTGAAGTTTGAACATCAAGGAAGAATAAAAAAAAGTTCTATAGTATACATGAAATCTTATTTCTCTACAATACAGAGATCTAAAAAAGCCTAATGAATAATGAAAGCGAATTGGATTATGAATATTGGATATAAAGTTTTTTTTTTAATCTGTAGATTTCATAGAATTTTTTATTAATAGTTTACTAATGTTTAAATGTAAAGTTTGATTTGTATGACTGATGTATGGAAGCCAAGATAACCCCATTCATATACATTAACACTTATATCTATATTTACAACACATATTCACTAATCGTCTTTCATAGCCATTATATATATTACAAGTACATGTCATTGTATAAATAGAGATCTTTCTGAAATTAATTAAAATTATTTTGACGAATAAAATCATGTGAAGTAAATTTTTTCATAAACGTAGTTAATTACTTAATCATTTTAACATTATTCTACAAAGTTTTTAAAATAACAGTGTCCTTATAACATCAAATATAAAGTAAATATTAACACTATTATGTTTTAATATTTTTATTTTATATACAAGTAACAAACAAATCTGATATGCTTTATTATCGAAATATTATCCATATTTTTGTTTCTAATCTTAACAAACTAATAATCACAGAAAAGACTAGCATGTACATTTTTTTTATATTTGGTTACTCTATAATACTGTTTCAAATATTTTAAATTTAAACCCGATATCAAAAACATTTATATGTCACATAACAATATAAACTTAAATTATAATTAAAACCTTAAAAATAACACAATGTATTTGGTAATATTGCTTTAAATTAATATATTTTAGTGAATACTCAGTGGTAAGTACAGACATTACTCGTGCTGAGTTATTACTTTTTGCCTCATGACGTCACGGTTACAGTACTGAACGGACTATCTCACGAGAACTGCGGGGGATTATTTTTTTAAATCGGCAGATATCCCGCGCCTTATATAAATACACTTTTCACACTGTCACTTCTTCCGTGAAACGACTTTTGTCATCTAAATTAATAACTATAGCATGAGTTCTAGCGTGTCCTGATCTCACACCACCTCTCACTGATTCTGAAGCACTCGGACTCGTTCTCGTTTCACTTCTATCACTTGTACTATTGTTTTTATTATTTGTACTCGTGCTTGGATCATTTCTGTTGACTGTACTAGAGCTTGGTCCATTTCTGTTAGCTTTATTAGTGCTTGGCACATCGCTGTTTGCCGCACTAGTGCTCGGTACATCTCTGTATGAAGTACTAGTGCTCGGTTCATCTCTATATGCCGTGCTAGTGCTCGGCACATCTCTGTATGATGTACTAGTGCTCGGTTCATCTCTATATGCCGTGCTAGTGCTCGGTACATCTCTGTATGATGTACTAGTGCTCGGTTCAACTCTATATGCTGTACTAGTGCTCGGTTCATCTCTATATGCTGTACTAGTGCTCGGTGCATCTCTATATGCCGTACTAGTGCTCGGTTCATCTCTGTATGACGTACTAGTGCTCGGTACGTCTCTATAGGCTGTACTAGTGCTCGGCACGTCTATATATGCCGTACTAGTGCTTGGTATATCTCTACTGTCCCTACTAGTACTGGGTAAATTTCTAGCTGTACTAGTACTTGGTAGATTTCTGTTCGCAGAACTAGTACTCGGTGCGTTTATGTTAGACATGTCTGGTGGCCGAACATCGCTGCAATTAGCTTCCCCGGATATTCTAAAAACACCATTTTGTGTTTCCTCATTGGGTTCCTGGTCGTCTTTCTTTTTCGGCGAGTCAGTTGTGACGTCAGTTTGACTTTGTTCTGCATTGCTAGTTTCCCCGCTTTTAGTTGGTGTGGCTCTTTGTCTACAAGTAGGTGGTGCTTCACAAATTATATCCCTGCCACTACTACTGGACTCCTCCCCTGGGGTGACGTTGCACATGAGTCTGCCGGCAACTGCGTTGAACACGTTATTCAGTCTTAAAGGTGCTGAGTGCTCGGCGCAGTTACCTCTGCGTTCATTGCGGTTTGCAGCTTCTCGCATCTCCGAGATACATCTCGCAATATTAGAACTGGAGCCGCAACGCTCGCGTAGTCTATCGAGTTGACTGCACAGCTTTTTGAATTCCTCCTAATTAAAGAAAAAACAGAATATGCAACAACATTTTGTCAAAGAACTTATAAGGCAAACGAGATATTACGTTCATAGTCATTAAAAATTATTTACCTCTAATTCTCGTTCAGTCATATTGTCACAAAAATGTGTGTTGTTTGTTGTCATAGTGTAGGTAGAGTCAGCAGGTCGGGTTCGGAACTTGCCTGTCTTGTCCTTGTCGTCCTTGCCGTGTCCTCTAAACACCATATACGCCTGCAATAATATTACACTTATAAACAGCTTTCTTCCTACATACAACAAACTGAAAACAAAAACAACTGCCTAACATGGCGTATTTTCAACATATTATTCCTATTGTATGTTATATAGTTTGTATGAAATAGCGTAGTCATAATTTTTGAAGTCTGCCGGCTTATTGTATTTTCTTAAATAGTTTTATCAAATCCGTAGTGTTTCTGTTTTGTGGATCTATTACGCTAAAAGATTTCACGTACATTTATAAAGTAACTAAAATATTCGTTACCTTACTTCCAAATATGAACAGCAAGAGTAACGTGACTGTCAGTTGCGTGTGACAGAAAAATATTATGTAGAGTAAATCCGGATTCGCTGGAGATTGCAAGAACAACCTGGAAAGGAAGATTATATCAAAACATATATCCATGATTGTTTTTTTCATATTAATATGAAAAAATAATCAACATTTATTTTCTTATAACAAACTTACATTTTAATTGTAGATTTATAACATAAATAACAAATAACCTGACTTTGACGGTTTGTATCAAGTTATTATCAAAACAAAACGTTCACAAATAATTCCTCTCTGTGCTTAATCACTTAACCTTTCGATACTGTGGAATATATGACAAAACAACATTTAACTAAAGTAATCCTTTCAATTTGATTGAAATCAGACTTGAGCAATAAGACTTGATGAATGGTTACGTTTCTAACTAAATATATAGGTAGTACTCCAATACTTGTTATTTGTATACTAGTAACTAGCTATTCCCATGCGGCTTCATCCGCAGCAGATTATAAAAACTTTATTTTATCGTTTACATGTGTCAAATAATCAATTGCAAATATCAAAATGACATGAAATGATGTTAATCCATGACAATCTTGTTTCGTTGATGTTGGCAGCAACTTATGGTCTCTTTCCCACATTAGTATTTTTATCCAATTTATTTACCCACTAAATTTAATATCGTGAAAATATATAGCCTAAAGCGTGACGTAAGTGTAGGCCTTTTTATTGAAAAAAGAATTATTCAAAAACAGGCTGTAATTGCTGAAATTTTAGGCAACAAAGAAGTGTATGTTTACGCTTTATTATAATAGTATACATTTGCGGTTTATTTAAACATTCCATAGGATCCTTAGCGTATAGTTGTTGTTAAAACAATTGTTACGAAAATTGAAACTGATAACATAGTTTGGTGAAAAATCATAGTGCATATTATTGCTTGATAAAATTATACTATTGGGCTCTCTATGTGAACACTTAACGACTCTGCGTCAATAGTAAGAGTATGGAGGACTAGTAATGTTACTCACATAGATATATTAAGGAAGCCAGAAAGTAAGAACTCATTGTAGATGGCCATCGAGATGAAGCGACTCTCGTTGAAGTCTGAAGGCGCTTTCCGTACCATGATGCACAACCGGATGCCCCACATCAGAAATATCACTTCCACTGACAACAAACAAATCACACTATAATGACATGAGCTCCTTTATTTTACTCTGATGTCTTAAAACTCTCAATTCATTCACTAAAAGACAATATTTACAAGTTACAAGGTAAGGCACATACGTTAGGTTTTGTAGGTTGTAAATCTTCAAGCATAAGCAATAGTCATAAACTTTTATAGGAAAACTGTAGGGTTTGTACACACTAATGTTTGTCTTTCATGTGTTGGCTACATATACTCACATGTTGTGAAGGAATGATCCCACCAGTCAGTGTTACATAAGTAAGCTTTAAGGTCTTCTCTGGTGCGGCCTACGATGACGGCGGGCGGTGCTACCAGCGTCCGTATAGAGAGCAGCACGCACGCCACGCCTACTATCACACCGATACGACGCAGCAGGTACATGTCTGATATCTTCACAGCTTTCGCTGACCGCACTTCGAATATCATTGATATCCTGTTGAATTAAGTCTTTATCAAATCTATACTAATATTATCAAGAAGAAAGATTTGTATTTATTGAAATAACGCAAAAACTACTAGGCCGATTTAAAAAAAAATTAACGTGGACGAAATCGCAAGCAACACAAATGGTTGATAATCTTACTAACATTATAAATGCGGAAGTTTGGAAGGTTGTTCGTTAGAGTTTGCAGCCTAAAAGGCTGAACTGATCTGGATGTCTGAATATTTGGAAGAACACATACCTTCTTTTGTTTTTTTAAATACCACGCGACCGGTATCGCAGGCGAAAGCTAATTTTCTATAAGTTCTTTTCAAAGCGATTATTATTACTGCCACCTTTGAAGGGGTTAAAAGGCTTTATAGTTTATTTTCTCCTGAATGTAAATATCTTTCCCTAAGTTGCAATGTCAAGTGGTACTTAAATGTTTACAAATCTGACGCACAACAAGGTTAAGTCGTCACCGGGATAAATGAATACAATTTGTTTGGTAGCTCCAGTTGCCGGAGTTCGCGTTAACCGTGTCATCTAAATATTTACGACCTGGAAATTGAATAAGATGTCGACCTTTAAGGTTGAGGGTTTTATTAAAAGCTTCGCGACTCGTAGAAATTTTCTCGCTCCGTAATGAAATGATCCCGGGGCTGGGAAATCAACGAGTTATCTTAAACCGAGCGTCGGATCCGCCCGGTGACATCAAACGAATTGCTTTTAATAAATACAAATGGTTGAAAGCATATGTAAGGTTACCCAAGTTATGGCAATTATTTTAATAAATCAATCTAAAAGACGTTTCGACACGGGTTGTAAGTTTACTCCCTACTTTTTTAATAAAGCGTTTACTTGATTCATTACGTGTTTGATCGTTGATCCATTTTAAGGTAGGTAAAAAAATAGCAAAAGACATTGATAGAACAAATATTGCGAACCTCCATGTCTTGAGCATAAGCGCTCCATATGTAAGACAGAAGCCGACCTCCCGGAGCCAGACCCTCAGCGTGCAGGTGAAGACGGTCGGCCTGCCGTACATCACTAGCGTGGTGCAGTAGATCAGAGCTGCACCCAGTACTATCACTCTGAGAAGCGCTGGACTGGCCGCTCGGACAACCTAGATTATGAAAGACAACATACAAGACGCTGAAGTATTGATTACATTAGAAATGGAGTACGTGGACTTGATTTTGCCAAAGCGATATGACCACTGCACGTAAAACATTTGAAAGAAGTAAAAAGAGGAGGCGTACAGAAGAAAGGTTACGTCACCCTACTGTAAGTCCACTCTTCGCTAAGTACACGTTCACCACTCACCCTGACGTGTCCGTACTTAATAGTGAAGTAAACGATAAACGGCAAACAGGATATGACGAAGCAGGCCAACGCTAAGATGGAGCTTCTGACGACCCAGTTGAGGGCGGCGACGCACGGCGACCCATCTACACACGCCTCGCACCCCTCCGCACATGGCAGGCACTCGAACGCGGAGATCATCGAGTACAGAGAAAGCTGATGCTGCAAATTAAAACAGTATTAGAAACTGAAAGGAAATTCAAATTAAAGAGAGGAATGAAACACACTCGTAGTATTCAAAAGGTTTACCAAAAGATGTTTCTCATACTCCTCTTCAATATCGCTTCCATTGTAGTAGCGATTTTCTGCGGTGGTGTTGGGGAAGTAGAATCCTCTGCGACAGAGGCAGCGGTACGAGCCCCGCCTGAACCCCAGCCCGGGTACAGGCACGCACTGGGAAATCATTATTATACAAAGAATTCATTATGAAACAAGCCTCCAGAGTATAGCCGTAATTGACTACTTTGTCAGAGCGCTTACTGTTCTCGGAAAATACAGCAATTTGTCGGACAGGATAAAGAAAAGTCAAGTCGTATAAGTATTGTTTGTCGCTTTATAGACCTCATTAACTTTGATTGAAAAAGTACCTGTTTAAATTAGAAATTGTTGATAATTATTCATGTTTTAAATTTCTCTGATGGTCCGAGTAAGACTGAGTGATATAGAGTTTTATAAATAAAAGATTTTGATTAATAGAAAAAGGAACATTTTTTCTACAAAAAATACTTAATCTTTCAAAAACATCCCTTTTAACTGCTTGTACGAAGTGGATTTTAAACACCGACAATCAAGAAACATTTCCGCAAACTGCACAAGTATAATTTTGCCGCAAACTTTCTGATAAATGACTCCAACAAAGCATAGACTTAAAAGAGTGAAGAGCGGTCTTGAAAACATCTGTTTCCCGCGCCGTTCAATTTTTCGCCGCTGTTATGTAAGTCCCCGAAGCTTAAGCCGATTTTCTTTACGGAACAAAGAAATACGGCTCTGCTTTTTGATGGACAGAATCCCTCAGTGACCGGTGTTTTATAAATTATTTTCCTTCAACAAATTTTTGTTCACGAAATAAATTCGCATTTAGATCTCTTTTATGACAGCAATTTGTATTTGGCGGTTATTAATTGAACGGAGTACATTTAACAGACACAAAAGAAAAAAATCTAATTATTTTGTTTGTCAAAAATTTAACTACTTAATGTTTTATTTACTACAGAATTGGATGCGTTTGGATTTAAAAGGTCAAGTAAAAACCTTATCTTTAAGTGTAGTAGTTTGTTTTTTAACATCTTAAGTGTTTATAATCTTTGACTTCCCGTTATTCTGTTCAATATCCATTAAATTACTATGTAATACATGTTTAATTTTACACATTAACATGTAAAAGGTCATGGCAGCTGACAATTATACGTTTAGTGCTTGTTTACATGTTCAATGCATGAAGAAAGTTAATATGCTTCATGTTAAACACCATCCGCATGTTGAAGTTTGAAGAGAAAATGTTCTCGTGCGAGAAAGTAAATTTGTTGAAGTAGCGATGTTTGTAATTGCAACTTTGTTGCTTAAAATACATGTTAAGTGGTACAGCTGTATGAGGAATTTGTAACTTTTAATTCGTGATAGCATGAAGTTAAATATTTTACGCTAAAATTTATTTGTAGTCACTTTTTTTTCTTAAATACAACGTCAATTAAAGAAGCCAATAACTATATAAAATGCATAGAGATGTAAATGATACATTATTTTTTAAATGTAAATCTTACCTCAGTGGTTTTCTTCTTGCATTTATCGGTTCCTGCAAATATATTGAGTTGCGTGGAGCCGGGCTTGAGCGGGCATTGGTCGATGTCGACGCGTCGTAAGTCTATGTCGATACCACTCGTACCTCTAAAGTGAACATTAGTTAATAATGAACATTTCACAAAAGTACATTAAGAGATATTAATTAGGTGACTAATTCAGTGTATGTATGGATATCACACTAAGGGACGATGTAGACAGTCACTAAGTACAAAAATATTCCTACTCAAAGAGGTACACAACATTCTGAGAGGATGAACATTTGGCACGACCTATGCCACCTGTAATTTTAATAAATATCTCTTCAAATAACTTACTCATAATACACACACATTGTAGTAAAAAAATACCATGTAACAAAGTATAAAAACTAAACCGGGGTGAATGTTGGTGCGTGAGATAAGCTGTAGACAATGCCTTCCTTCAGCGAACTGATATATGCACTGAATAATATTACAGTAAAGAAAGTGTATAAATCTAGTTATTCTAAACTTAATGAATGTTTTATAAAATAAACTTTTGAAAACCAACTCATTATGATTTAGATAGCGCCATCTAGTGACAGATATAAAAAAGAATAGCTTAATTGACTCAGCATATCACAGACTTTATCGGCATTTAGTCGGGTGTATTTGTACTTGCGGTGGCTCTTAACACGAATATTGTAAGCATTATGGTCGAGCTGTGCACATAGATAGGTTACTTAAGATATGTTTGAGAAAGGAGCGACGTTGATGTGAACGTGTGTCACGTTTTGTAGACGATAGGTAAAAGGAAAAAGAATTATAACCATTTACGAGTAATAAAAAATATCAACAATTTAATGAACGAAGCAAATATTGAATTCTTTCAAATACAATCTCCGTAAAGCGGAATTTTTAAATATACAACATTATTCAATTTTCATTAAATTTTTATTTGTACATTGCACAGTTTAAATTTCTAAGAAACATCATATACAGTTTGAATTTCTAAGAACTACGATGGACACTTTTATCTTTATGAAAAAAATTAAATACTCGTGCGTTATGCTTCATAATTTCGTGCAAAGAAAAATGTCTGACCTAGTAACATTCAGAACAGGCCGCAAGTTGAGTTAAAATTATTGCGAAATAATTTATCTACATTTTATATCTATATCTATACTATTATAATAAAGCGTAAACACACACTTCTTTGTTGCCTAAGATGTCAACAATTACAGCATATTCTTGAATAATTCGTTTTTTAATAAAAAGCCCTAACCTTACGTCACGCTTTAGGCTATATATTTTTACGCAAATGAACTTAGGGGGTAAATATTTTGAATTAAAACCCTAATGTGGGAAAGAGACAATAAGTTGCTACCAACATCAAGGTAGCAAGGTTGCCAAGGTTGGTCATGTTATGTCATTTTGACATTTGGTATTGATAATTTGACAAATGTAAACAATAAAATTAAGTTTTTTTATATAATTTCATGCGGATGAAGCCGCACGGAAACAGCTAGTTATAGATAAACCTTGATTAATTTCTTGTAACTAAAAATATTTTACTAGTATGTATTATAGAAGACTTTTATTTAAAGTCTTATTGCCATGCTTAAAGACACAAAATTAAAAAAAAACAAATGAACACACAGTTTTATTACTACTACGTATTTTTATTTTAAATGAGAAGGGGGCAAACGAGCGGCGGGAACACAGAGGTGGTCAACGACGCCCATGGGCATCCGCAACACCAGAGGAACTAAATATGCGTCGCCGGCCTTTGAGGAAATCGTAGGCTCGCTCCTTGAAGGACCCTAAGTCGCATTGGTTTGGAAATATCATCGAGGACAGACCGTTCCACAACGCGGCTGTGCGGGGCAGAAATAATAGTATAATGAGTCTATCTTTATAGTAGGTACTAATAATGGCATAAACACGTTTATATGTTGCTTTATGAAATAATTAATATTTATGAAGCACTGAGTGCGTCCTTAATAAAAGCCATAATTATACCGTCTTTTAAATATTAGTCATAATATAAGATATTTCTTTAACAAAATTAATCATTTATTTCACACTTAATAAGTGAATATTTAACTTTGAACTACTAGATTCTATTAGATACTTGACAAAAAAAAAAAAAACTAACTCAGTATAGACAAGTCAACCGTTTGCTATCCATAGGAAAAATGTAAAAAATAACATTTGTCAAAGGTGAAACGGTTATCATCTACCGATTGAATACTTTCGTGATGTCACAGAATAATCCATTTCGCCCGGTCTATCAGTCGACCCAATCTCAGCTATTGCCCCGACATTGTCGAATGGGACTGGCGAATGACAAGTAACCAATTTAGGGTTCCTTAGTTGAAGAAATGTAGACGCTCGGAAATGTTAATGTTAAAAAATCACATAAATGTTGGATTACGAGTGATACGAGAATATTCTACCCATCAGAGTTCTGCTGGTTTTGTATACTAATGTTAGAAAAGAAATAAATTACGTACGGAACCGATAAAAAGGAAAAGGTTTACGCTTTCATTTTTTGATACGGTACATGCCTGTCTAAGAATTGAAGGTAATTTGTAAATGTCATCAAATGGAAAGCTTTATTTATAAGGATAAATAGATGTTTTGACATTGTTGTCTCGCTTTTAAATAAATTACCAATACCGTTTTTGTACTGTTTTTGTAAACACGCAAATTTTAACAGTGGTTAAGCTATCCCTTTTATTACTGACTAGCTTTCGTCCGTGACTCCGTTGGCGTGAAATTAAAAAAGTAAAATATTTAGTCTATGTTTTCTTTCAGACTATGCTCTACATCTATGCCTTTAATCGAGATTCGTTCACCAGTTTGGGCTACAAGCTCTAACAAACATCCCTCCATTTAGATTTTCACATTTATAATGTTATTGTTTTACTTGATAATTTACATTTTACTTCATATTAATGTGTTTGAGTACTGTAAAACATTTAACAAACAACACATATACTAACAACATTATTTACAACCCCAAAATAGAAAGGGTAGTATAACACGTTTATAACCGTTTTATTTCTCTAGGCATAATTTTAATGTAATGATGTTTTGTACGTTTACGTTTATTATGAAGTTTACGAATTACGCTTATTTCCAGTATCAAGAAATTGTATCAAAAAGTCAGGAAAGAACACTTATAGTGTTATATTGCACCTTACTCGGCAGAATGTTAAATTGCTTTTAAAAAAGAACATTAGGCAAATCGTGCTAGCGTTTTGTGACATTGTTTTGACCTTCGTTATTTGATAACATCTATTTGCAAATATATTTTATGTAAGCAATAACAATAATGAAGTTGTAATTTACAAAATTCTATAAAAATATATAAGAAAATAAAATAAGTTACTCAAAGGTTTTACAAATTTTACAAAGTTTTAAAAGATTTTTTACTGAATTGTCTAAAATTGGGTCTGCCAAACCGCTAAGTAAAAATGGGTGTCTTCTTTGATCAATTTATCAAAGAACTTTATATTCCAAACACTTTCTCATGTTTTAGTCTGTTTTAATTTTTTTCAATAACCTATATTATGAATTTCTAAGTAAGACTTTCTAAACAGAATTTTGTCTCTATTATTATCATATATATTATTATTATATCAAAAAAATTTTAACACCAAGTGTTTAGTGATATTTATACATACGCTTGTACAAGCTATTTCAGCTTTTGAGGAATTTGAAACCGTAACATTCATGAAAAGAGTTACATCAGTCTTACTAATGTTAAATGCGAAGATAAGATTGTTATTTTGTAATCGAAATTGGTGAACGGATTACAAAGAAATTTGATGTTTGCACATTTTTTTTTATTCCAAGTAGACGGAATCGCAGGGAACGTTAGTAAATATATAAATGTAACAGGTTATATATCTATGTTGAAAATACAATTAATTTTAACTTACTTGAAGAAATAAGTGCCATTGTTGTAACCGAAGAAAGGTACGGTGTACGTCAACATCCAGATGTTACCGCCGCCGCAGTCGTAGTACGGCTTGGACCACTTGCCGTCCTCGTACGTCACTGATAGTATCTCGTCGAACTCTCTCTCAGTATGTGCTGTATCGTTATACGTATACGTGTTGTAACCTGTTGTGTATAAGATTAGATTTAGCTTGCAGACTATGTACTGCCCGGTAAGCGATGTAATTTTGACAAAAAGTTGATGGTTATGCTACAATTAGCCCGAAAATGCAAGCATATTCCTTTAAATCGCATTTGTTTACAGCGTAATTTCTTTTTTTTAAATTAAAAATATAGTCAGTTTTAATATTTTACGACAAAACAAATCTCACACTACGCAGCATCGAGTACGCAAGATGCAAGTGGCCATCGCTTGATGTCCTTCCCTGTTATTCTCGTAGGAGTAATTAAGATGTTATGTTAATATTGCTATGATACAAAGTTAAAACGAGATATATACATTTTAACAATGAAAACTTACCCCTTTTAAATTGATTATGATTACGAATAACTCGTTCAGCATTCTTGCGGGCGATGTAAAACCATTCTGATGTGTTACTTAAATATTTGTATTCAACAGCCAGATCCTTTGCTAGAATTGGTCCTTCGGGCAGTCTGTATGCGAACGGACAAAATAATTGGTAGTCCTTGTATTGATATTGGTCGTAACAATTACCGGCCGCGAATACGTCATCATCGAACTCCACCATAGAAAATACACTCGCGTGCAACAAATATTCATTATGCATTACAGACGGCCCCGCATATTTCCATAACCTTGTCAACATATTAGCTCTATTAACGGCTACCTCCGCTTCTATCCTAAACCTTTCTTGAGCATATCTATCTACCACTCCTTCCCCTAAATTTAAATGTGTACCCGCTGTACAATTTTCACCTAACAAATGTTGCGTTTCTATCAATCTTAAAAATTTAGTCACTACATCTTCGTGCACAGTTGGACGCACTATAGTCATATTGTCAGAATCATTTAAAGTATCATTAAATAAACTATCTTTAGCATTGTCCACACTTAAAATATCTTCCATAGTCAGTTTTTGTGTTTCGTTGTTGTCGTAACTATGTTCTACGTTATACAAGTGATCGAGTAAAGACACATCATCGATAGATTCTTGTTTGTGAGTGTTTGTAGAGATGTTGCCGAACAGTTTGTGGAAGAGTTCGGCTGACTCTTTGGGTTCGTCTTCGTCTGGCGCGCTGTATGGTCTTAGAGCAGCTACCACGGGATCTTCCCCAGATTTGTCGATACTCTCTGTAACAACAAATAAACAGTTTACTCATTTTATACATCAGCATTGATGTTATTACTTGTTACTGTAATTATTAAATAGAACCTGGTTAGGTTAGTTTCGTGAGAAAATAATAATTCAACTCTTTTAACATTACAATAAAAATGTACTGTAACTATTACTACAAAATGATATAACGTAAGCCACATACATTTACGTTTCAAATACTAAACAAAGATTTCTCAGAAAACTTGCAGTTTTATTGAATAATATCTTGCATTTTACTGCTACTGATAGAGGAACATGTAAAGACATTTTACGAGTAAAAAGGATTTCATCGCCTAAGAAATGGCTGTGTAAAATTTGCTATCTTACCCTATAAAAGAGGATTTTGTTTATGGCAACAGCAGATCGGGGTTTTCATTACGGGAGGCAATTGATCGCCTACATTATTTATTGGGGGCAATTTTGTTCAGCGCCCAACTTTTGCTGCTATAAAAGAAGCTGTTAAGGTATGTCCCATAACAGCTTTACTGTCCTTGATCTCGACATAGAAATAATAATCTTTATGTTTTAATAATGTTCCTGTTTTTATTTTATATTTTCGTGTGGTTTTTACTTGTTGTAATTTTTAGGATTGTGTAATGAATGTTGTGCATATTTCTAGTATTGCGAAAACATTTTTTTTAATTCCATTATTTTATTCTAACCAAAAAAGAAAGGTATTTGACTTTGTAAGATAAAAACACGACATTTCATGTTACTTCAAAATTTGGACAAATAATTTTCCCAAAACTGCTTTAGGCTAGTACGAATTAAAAGATTTTGAGAGAATTTTTCCTTTCAGAAATTTTTTTATTAGATATTTCTCTCCACGCATACAGGCAGGCGTATGTACTCGTACTCTCCGTTGATTAATTACCGCCATAAAAATTGATCAGCACTTACGTGATTGGATTTTGTCGACATAGAAGCTTTTTGACCAAACACCAGAGTACATCAAATTGATGAAAGCTGGCTGCACGCAGGAAAAATCGTGAATCATTGTAATGATATTTTTGAGCCGAGTGTGCAAGCGAGAGTATGGTAAAAGCGAAATTGAGGTATGATCTGCCTGCGTGTTCGGCTTATGACGTTATCACGTTAAGAGTGGCGTACATCTTTGCTAAACTGTCGCATAATTGTTGGGCGATTGTCGATTGTTTCGCAGCCACTTCAACTGTTTAGTTGCACAACTGGAAATCAAGTAGTGTGCGCACCTCCATATAAGCTCATAGGAATCAAAGCGAGACTACACAGTTGTGCGATAGTTTAGCTAAAGGTGTGCGCGCGCTCTAAATCTTTTTTATTGTTTTGAGGTAAAAATTAAAAACTGTTACCTAATAAACTAAATGTGTTTATTTTGTAGAGCTATAAATAGACAGTGTAAATAGATGTTTCCTTGACAATGTACGGTATGTTATATGACAATAAAATTACATTTATATCTCCACCGTACCCACTCGGCCTCTGTTCGTTCTTGATCTTTGTTTCCGAGTCAGCGAAGCGCGTCGTTTCTCTCTAATATTCCCGAGGCATTTCTTGATACATTACGTATTCCTTTTTATTTTTATTTTTATTGTGAAAACTCCTACATAACATCTTTTAACCCAAATAGCGTAAAAAGAAATTGCAAACCTTATATGTTATTCAGTCAGCTCGATGTCAAATGCGATAGGCGAAAATCCTTTTCGAGAAACATCGGATACAATTTTCGAAAAGTAAATCTCAAATCTCGTAGGATTACTTGGGTTTTAACAACCGACTTTGAAGACACAAATGTCAAAATTATTCTAAATATTTAAAGAAATCAAATTATCGTAGCTTTTACAATCATAAATATACTTGTAACAAGAGACTTTGTAAAACGTTTCACACAAATAGAAAGTAGAAAGTAGGGAAAGGAATGGGGGTCGAAAATATTCGCGTTCTTTACGTTTCTTTGCCCAATAAAGGTAGATAACGCATCCGTATCCTTCTAACCCTTTGCATTATGGGCTGGGGATACTTCGCTGTTTCGGCGAAATAAAAGCTCACTCATTTGCCTTTTATCATAAAAAACTTCCGATCATTTTAGCTATTCCCGCTAAATTTGTGAGATGAGTTTACTGTATAAATATTTTTTTACTAAAAAATCTAGTCATAGCAAAATTGAGTTCGTACAACTGTCATGTAGTCGATCTCCATCACAGAATCTGGAAGCCCACCTGAATAATTCAACAGATTATACTCCGCTCAAACTACTCTATAAATAAAGTTAAGGTAACAAGACAAAAGAGCTTTTTTATGCCTACGAGAAGTCATTTTTATGTAAACATTGTTAATAGAAAGTAAAAGATGAACAAATTTCCAAACTGTTTCAAATTTTAGTTAATATTTCGAAATGAAATTTTTCATTAGACTTTTGAAATATGAATTTTTTTATATTTCATTTTCGCTGGACAAAGTTATACAGTGAGTCAAAGTGAAAATACTTTAATTGTTAAAAGCTAAAACTCTTTCACGGTTGCAGTTTTCTTTACTTTGTTTCAGTATAATAGGCTTTTGTAAGAACCATTTCTTGTGTAAAAAAAACTTAAAAATTATGGCTTCTTTAATACTTTTGACACAAAAAGGTACTTTTGTAGTAAAAATAGTATAGTTCATAACTTTCCGTACAAATATAAAAAAAATCTCGTCAGTATGTTAAAGGTTGCTAAAGCGTCCATAATCTGTATCGAGTTTCACCTCACTTGCCCCCAAAATACCCCTTTCAAGCTGACTGAATAATCTACCTTAAATATTTCACGCGTTGGCGAATGCTCCGTTGGATTGTATCGCAATAGCACTTTTATATCTTTTTACCTTGAATACTTTATACGAAAATATTATTAACAAATATTTAAATTATTTTGAAATTCCAACGAAATACGGGTGTACTACATTTTAACCGTATATTTCAAAGTACAAAACATGCTTTGATAGAAAAAGTTTTTAGTATACCAATATTAAAGTTTTAGACGTATTTATTTAGGAATGTTATACATTTAATGTTTACATCGATGTATAAAACAGAAGGGATGTAATAAATGAAAATGAATTTATAAAATCGACAACCGCAATAGGAGCATTACACTTCGGGACAGTTCATAAAAGGCGATTTTTCCGTGCGGCGATGCGTGAAACGAAAGAAATATTGGTGCCAGGGATAGGAACCGCAGTGATGCGAATTTGATCCTGACTTTAAGCAGGAAACGATGCGGACGGCTTTCCAAACCGCATTTGCCTAATCTCGTCTTTGAAATTTTTGGAGCAACGAAGCGTAAGAATATTAGAAAATGATTTAACCATTACGAGGGTTTTAATTTATTTTCATTATCACATTATGAGAAATTTACAAAGATTTTGTAATCGGAAAAGATTTCCGTAAATTTAAAAAATCAAATAAGCGTTTCATATCATGTTAAAATCACAACGAAACTTAAGTAACCAAAAATCTTCCTAATATTATGAATGCAAAAGTTTAGTTGGATCGATGGATGTTTGTTGATGAAGGATGATATCTCGAAAATCTGAAGTTTCACACAGATTCAAGGCACAATAGAGACTACTCCAAATGTATCTCATCACTAAATCACATAGTGATAAATTTGCACACAATGATGTTTTGCTCCTGCAAGAGCTTATCATGAATAGTCGTGAGCACGTCCTCGTAACGTTTTCAACATTTTTTTATTACATTTGTGCAGCGGATACCGGACGTAAAGTAATACGAGTATGTTCTCGTACTGACACGCAAATATTCGTGATAGATCCCCAGATTTTGAAATTAAAAATCATTGCGTTGCGATCGTCATTTGTCTAGATTAATGTTCCTTCAACGTCACTCGCTTACTTTTTCCGTTTAAAATGTTCATTTATAACCCGAAAAAAGGTTCAAAGACAAATTACCGACGTCAGTATTTCCGTCAGATTACGGACTACGAATAAAATAAATAGACGAACGCTATAGAGGTTGCTGTCCATTTATCAAATCATGTCAAATATTAGTATGGGTGGTTCTGCGTGGTTGACTATTACCTAGTCAAACTAAAAGTGGACTCCATGCCCTTTCGTGGACGTATATTGTGATGATTATGCAGTTATTCCTCTCAAATTAATTAGTATTCTACAAAAAAAATATAAAAAGAAATGTATTTGGTATGGCAATAACTTATCGTTTCATGTATTTCGATAAGATCCGTTGAGATGAAAGCAAACTTGAGGCCGTTATTCCACTTCAGTGAACATAATAATTTCAGGGTCTCTGAGCACACTTTATGCATGATATTTTTAAGAAAACTTTAAGTTCGATATTTAAATAAAGAGAGTTTTAATTTGCAATACTCTGCGCGATGAAAATATAATTGTTGGTTACGACTGTCAAAAATTTTTAAAAACACATTGTTTTTCTTTTGTTTTATCTTACAAATATGTAAATATGAAAGTTTAGATGGATGGATGTTTGTTAAAGTTTGTAGCATTAATAGCTGAACGAATCTTAATAAAAAGCCTGGAAGAACATATACTTTAATCCTAAAAATGTGAGGTTCCCGATGGATACGCAGTTCTTTGTTTTTCATAGTTCGGCAACATGTAATAGTTTATTGAAATTCTAGAAAGTTCTAGTTTCGACAACAAAGGTATAGGAGTGTACTATTGAGATTTCATCCAGTTTTCTATTTGGTTAGTAACAAGTTCGTGTAGAAGATTTTCAATCTCTCCGGACCGCAGAGAAAACTTCAAGTTTGACGTCAACTGCAT